GGCCGGTGCCACCGCAGCAGCGCGGCGACCTCGGCACAGGGACGGAGAGCTGGGACGTGCCCAGCAGCCCCGCTAGAGCGAGGCTGGTTGGACACCAGCAGCGCTGAGCTTTCTTAAAGTGCTTTTCAGGGACAAAAGCAAGCGGAGAGTCCGTACGGGGACGTTGCACAGATTTAATTAAGTCTATTTAGAAACTCGCTCTGTTTCGTTGGTGCTATTCCTATGCGTGCGCCAGCCCTCGGCAACGCTGGCTTTTATCTGTAGGTCCAGCAAAAACTTCGGCCTGGGGGGTCGGATGCAGCCCTTCAGTTCTGACAAATCCGTAAGTAAGCGTCAAGAGGAAGAAGAAAAGAAGAAAGAGAGGGACTGGGGGAAAGGAATTAGCACAGGGAACAACTCCATTTGGGCTTGTCATCTGCTGGTGTTTACCACATCCCTGCTAAAACGGACCATCAGTTCTGGCCAACAACAAAGCTGCTGGCTTCGAACCGAGAGGGATTAGGCCGGTTAAGACGACAAGGGCTGCAGTCAATTCCCAGCCGAAACGGAGGCCACACAACTCGCTGCAAGGGATGCTTAAAAAATAAATAGGTCACCACTTCCCAAGTGGTCCAGGGCTGGGCCGCGGCCAAGGGAGCTGCTCCGCTTGGAGGTCTCCGTGGAGCAACGCGGGCGACGCAGCGCCAGCGGGCGCCCAGGCGGGCTTCAGGCCTGACCTCACCTGTGGGGTTTTTTTCGGGTAAACCATTGCTTCCTGCCTGCGCTTTATTTATCCCACATGTTTATTTTCTATATGGTTTATCCCGAAATGTGTCACTATGCAACTTTCTAGGCTTTCCCATCCCGCTGGGGTAAACTCGACCTATGTGGGATGACACTGAAGATTAAATCAACCATCGCTGCTGTTATTGTGCTCAGGCTCCTGCCAGCTCTGCAGAGGTTTTTTTGTGTGGTTTTGTGAGGTTTTTTTATTTTTTTTTCTTTTTAACTAATCTGGTGCTTTTAACACTTGCTATCTCCAGGCTCACAGAGCGGCCCCACGCACACCTCCTTTTCCACGTTTTAATGAACATGAAGGAGCTGCTCGAGATGCCTCAGGTGGTTTGCTGGAGCTTGCAAACAAGGCAGCCAAAATGCGTCCTTGCATCTGACCCTACAGAGCATAGCTGTGCTCTTCAGCCTCGCCGTGACCTTAATTCTACATATTTTCCGACAGGGCTTTTACATACACAGCATAATCCAGAAAGAGGCATTTTTCTTCCCACTGCCTGTTCTCGCCTGTACTCTGTGGTGCTCCTGCTGGACTTTCTAAAGGAAGTGAGAGTATTTAGCATCCTTGCCCAGGACTTCAGCGCAAAGCTCTAATCCCTGACCCACCGCACGCGTTCGACTGTGGAACAGTCGCCCAAACGCTGTAAAATGGAGATGTATCACGAGGAGGGTAAGGATAAAACAGGCTCTGAAATACCTCCCTACAGTGTAGGTACCATAATGCAAGAGAGCTTTTTTCCCTCCCCACTAAGTTGGCCCTGGTCAAAAATCAAGCGCAGTGGCATTTCACATAACCGCTTCCTCCGCACTTGACCTCCCTGACAGTCAGCGACTCCAAAGGACAAAGATTTTTTTCGGAAAGGCCCAGTGTTTTTGCCTCGCTTTGTTGCACCACCCATCCCACGATGGCAGAGCCTGCTGTCGTCGGTGTCACAGGGCCGGCAGGGACCACGGCTACGCAGTGAGACATGCAAACATCTCCTGTTGCTCCAGGCACCTGGGGCTCTCCCTCCCCCTGTGAAGATGGGCTTCTCCGGGCAGTAACGGCAGGACAGTTGGCCACTCTGTCCGACTCCGCTTGTTGCCATCACCACCATCCCCCCAACCCAAAAAACCAAGAATGAGAATTTAAGGAAAAACATCTTTGAAATCAGTTTTAAGTAAACAAAAAATTGATCTCACAAGCTTCAGAAACCGCAGGCATAAATTTGGGTTTGGCTAGGTCCTGTGTTTTGCTTGGGTTCTTCTGCATCACATATGAAGCCCATTTTTTAAAAGGATTTGCTCGAGCCGTTCAGCACATTACAAGGGGTAACACGCGCTCGGCAGTCACCTAGGAGCCACTGCTGTGTCCCCAGGGCCACCAGCCCCCTGCCCAAGGGCGAGAGGCAGAGCTGGCCTTAGATGTAGAGTCCCTCACTCCTTGGGCTCCTGCCACATGGACAAGCAGTGTCAGGAGCCAATGAACAGCGGTGAAAGGAAAAAGCATGCCTTTCCCGGGGGAAAAAAATATATATATAGGCTTGCCGTAATTTTATTCCAGCAAGTGGTAAGATATTCAGTGAGCAGACTGGAAGAAATCTTGGGTCACACCAGGAAAAAGGTCAAGCTTAGCAGTCCTAGTCCAGCTCCCCTCTGCATCTGAAGCAAGCGACGGTCACGACTCCATTCCCTGCGCTGAGGCAAGGACATTATAACTGGCCAAAACCGTAACAGGAGATATGATCTGTAATTTTGATCTGGCCAGTGTTTGCAAGCAGGCTCAGCCGCACGGCTGAGCTGGAGGTCTCAGCTTCTCCAGGGCTCAAGGAAGAAGAGACCGTCGAGCTGGGTATTGGCTGAGATCCACTTAACGTTTCAAATAACAAACATAAAGTACAACAAAGCCACCCAGTTCTCTCTTGTCCGCAGGCACAGAAGGGAAATTAGGGTTCCTGGTGTCTGTTTGGAGGTTGGCCTGGGCAGCCGGAAGAGCATTAAGATACACTCTACATTTCAGAAAGAAAAAAGCAAAAAAGGAAAAAAAAAAAAAGAGAAAAGAAAACTAACTAAAGAAACATGTCTTGCTTGTCTCCCTAATGTGCACGGAAGCCCGTCAACCACACAACCCTGTAAATGGCTTAGGATAAAAGAAGGGAAAAAACACCATTAACTGTCCGCTTGTGTTTTTCAGCCTGTCTCTCCCCCAAGCTGCTCTCTGGGGAGCTCTGTCGTTGCCCCCGAAAGGCAGCAGGCTATCACTTTACAAGGCAAGGGGGAGAGGAAACTGCAGGAGAGGAAAGGAAGCAGACAAATTGCTAAGTGAGAAGGCGACGGGAGGCCGTGAGCAAACAGGGCGCTGCCTCGGCGAGCGCAGGATGCCTCCCTCGGATGTGGACTCGGGGCTGAGGCGCAGCCTGGCACGGCAGCGCTTCGCCTTGCGGCTATTTGTACGACAACACAAAAAAGTCATTTTCATGCAACGCTTCCTGAACATTTTTCCACACTCGCTTTTGCAAACCTCCAGGCAAAATTCCTCCCCAATCACAGGCCTTGGCTCGCACGTGAGTATCACAAAAGCAGGAAAAAAACGCACGAGGAGCTATCATTTCTAGCAAAGCCTTTCTCGTTTCCGCTTCAAGAAGCTCTGGAGGTTATTTGCAGCCTTTAAACTAATGAGCGGGCGACAGAGCACAGGCAGCGGAGGAGGATGGCGGCAGCTGCCAAGTAATGACATTTTACACTTAGAGATGCTTTTATCCGTGTTTCTCAGAGCACTTCGCAGGAGAGAGCAGGGTGTTATTATTGCTCCCCTATTCACGTGGAAGCTGGGGCATAGTTTAGCGTGAAATATGTTGCTCTTCCTTAAGATTCAGTACACCGGAGGCTTATTTAGGAAGGGGGGGTGGGAGACGAATTGCCCTCCTTCGCAGGCACTCGCTGCTGTAGGCACAACTGGGAGAAAAGCAGACTGCCAGGCAATTTCAAGCAGGATGCACAAAGGTTTAAGTTGTTAAAAGGCTAATCATACCGTTGCCTTTGCGGAAAATCCCCCCCCCCCATAAAATACCGCCCCCCCCCCAGAAGTCTACAGGAAGGTTAAAAGGCAGGAGGGGAGAGCACAGAGAAGTTTGCATTTATTACCAATTTTTGCAGATGTTTAAGGTGACTTTTAGTCGTCCACTTTTCTGCAGAACCTTCTACGAAGCCTGATCCAAAGCCAAATGAAATCCTTAACGATGACTGCAGTACAGAGAAGTAAGAAAATACCCGTTACTATGATTTCTTATTTCTAAACTGTAAAACCTCTCAGGGACAACCCAGTGAGCCACAATGCTTTGCACAGTGGATCAGCGTGGGCTTTCACCTACTCTGAATAACTGCTGACTTAGGCTATCCTTACATATAACAAAGGATGTAATTATGCTAGCTTACACCCAGCTTTCCTCTTCCAGACTTCTGCCTCCAGACACCACCGCTTCTCGTGTCCATTTGTATAACCAAGAACAATTAGAAATAAACGGGCAAGGAAAATTATACCTTTAATGGACTTGAACACGATTTCAGGCTAATAAAAAAAAAAATCACACTTCCAGATGAAATGCATGCTCCAGCGCAAATTGCCAGAGCCGCTTCCACATTCATGCCCTGGATTATCTGTCCAGGGCATGGTCAGATCTGGATCTCACAGTATCGAATCGGAAAATACTCCTTCCTCTCCGTGGGTGCGACTCTTGTGCCAGAAACCAGGGTACGGTGTACAAGAATTAGCTATATTCGTTTGGGCTGACACGTAATTTATGTGACATAAAGCTACATAAATCTCAGTCTATACTTATTGTGAAATAAAAAATTACCACACCAAATTCACGCCCATAAAGCATCTATAGATTACCACGCATTCCACGAGTATTTACTGTTTGAAGAAAATATATACCGAGATGTTGTATAATAAAAATCTAATGAGCATCAGTTTAGGCTGGCTTTATTTATTCGCTCGCCACGAGTGAATTACTCAGTTTTCCAGAATCCTGGCACAGAAAACCTTCCCACCATTTGCGCTCAGATGCAGCATACCTGCTTTGGTGGTTTCACCTTTGCGCATCCTATCTGCCTGTCTTGAGAATCAGGAGTCCAACGGCATAGCATTTAAGCTGCTTTAAGTACATTTGTACTTTTGTAGTAATTCGAAATAGTTTAGGTATAATATATATTTATATTTGCACAGCATTTGGGAAGGTTGATTTTTCAAAATCTTACAGGGCTTGCAGTAAGCAACAGCGGTAATCAGGCAGCCGGTAGAGTGAAATACCTCCCATCTTTTTGGGGATTACCGGTCCCATTTCTGACCCTATGGGGAATAACTCAGGATACCTGCATATAGAAAAAAATCTGGATTCTGCATGGGAAGTGTAACACTGTTGCTGTCAGCTATGATTTTGGGGAGGATTTTTGCATTTTTCAGGACAAAAAAAGTATTTCTAATTGCGACCATTTAAAATAACCTGGAATGTCTAAAGCGAAGCTGAAGTGGGGGG